TAATTGGTAGTGATGCTTTGTGATTGATAAACATGTTTAGCATCGAAGCTTGCAAGAATTGAATGACTGTTTACATGTGTGATCACTTGGTTTGTTATGCGGCATTGTGTGAGCACTATTCATGGACGCATGGGCTAATTGAAAAGATAATAATTGACCGGTATGCTTGTGTGCTCGTGTGGTCACACATTAAAGCCGTCTTGCTGTGTATCGCTTGACGTTGCCCTATTTATCGGATGCCTGGGGATAATCTGGAGTGCTGATACCCCGGATGCCTTGTCGCGGCCCGAGGCCGGACTTGATGCTCCTTACGGGATACCATCTTACTGTGTATCGTTTGATGTTGCCGTATTGGAATGCCGTCATCCTGTATATCGTTTGACGTAGCCGTGCCCGACGGGGCGGGACGGAGCCCGGTTTTTACCGGTAGACCGCCATCTTCTTGCGTATCGCTTGATGTGTGGTGGCCGGGCGTAATAATTGGAATACGTGTGATGCATAGTGCTTGATTATGGGGTAGAAGCTGCTAGGCATGGTATGGGACGTGCCCAAGCGGGTTTTACCTTATAATCGAGACACGCGCGACTGTGTTGCATTAATGCATGGAAAATCTCGTTAAATGCTTCGAGTATGTGACATATGCATTTCATCAACGAGTGTACCAAGGCGAGATAAGGATGTCTGTGGTTGTTTAATATTGTTGCTATTGATGCTGTATTGACTGGTTAGGGACCCCCGTGCGAGTTGGCTTCCTAAGCGGGGCTTAGACTGTTAACTTATTGAGACTTTCGTCTCATTTGTTGTTGTTAACCACTTTTCAGGCCCTTAGCACGTTGATGCACCCAGTTGAGTTCAGGGCGTCTGGAAGCGGGCTTTTTGGGATCGACTTGTTGGTGGAGTAGATTGACCCTAACCTTTATCTTTTGTTGGCTTTTTGTGAAAACGCTCGGAGTGGGCTTGTAAGTATGTTCCCAGGGGTTAATCAAGTGAATATTAAAAATGACTTTTGTTATGTCTGGTTTTCCTCTGCTATCCCTGATTTGATTTTGTCTGGGGATTGTTGTGTTGGTTATCGTTTCCGCTTTCGTAATTCAAAGATAAAAAGAAAAGGGTCGGCGACGAGTCCTGGGTCGTCGCATCATAACGACCATAACGGGATGTTGCGTGTCCGTAGAGTTCGGGGTGTGACATTTCAAGACGCGTGCCAACAGTTCAACCATGTCCATGTTGAGGACTTGCCTCGTCTATATTCTAGACCTGCCCATGGCCGAACATATTCGAGTTTGACGTAAATTTCATCTCTTAAAAGATATGGGTGCGGTGGAAAATTTGTAAATAATTTTTGGGGCCACCACGATTGACTTAGGCAAAGTATGTCGGCAGCTGTTTTTGACTTAGAGTCTTCTTGTTCCACTGACTACAACATCGACAGTCTTCTTTATTGCAGTTCCTAGCAATTTCTTAGCAGTCGTTTGTAACATTAAACAAAATAATTATAATGGGGTTACGAATGGATTAGTGAATGATTAGAAGTAATAGCAAAACTTCAATTACTGAACGACATAGTGTACTCGGAGCAATAATAATCAATTTCAGAAGCATATTTTTAAAAAATAATTGGGAGTTAGCCTTTGAATAAGACTGGAGAATTTCATGTGGTCCGCCAAAAAAATTTAGATCTTGTTCATAAACTTGTGGCTCTTGTTGAACTTTGGACATACAATATGTTTTTTTTAAGAATCTCACTTATCAAAATCATCTCTGATGTCCGGGTTCCAACTCTAAGATATGAATATACAACTTTGCGATTTTCTTTCTTTTTCACAGAGCTTGCTTATAGTTTGGTGGTTAACTAGAAATATGACGTATATAGCTTTGGAGTCGTGGCGATGGTAACACTAATGGGCAAGCATTTGGCAGAGACCAATTCGGTGCTATCAACCTCAGAAGGAGAAGATATCATGTTACTCGACATGTTAGATCCGCGCTTGCCTATTCCCAAAAAAAGTTCTGTCACGAAAAAAATTGTTGAAACGATTTCTCTGGCGCTTGCTTGCTTGCTTTCGTGCTGACCCAAAGTCACGTCTTATGATGAAACAGGCTTTTGAAGCTTTTTTGGCTCGAAAGATACCAATGATCGAGCCCTTCCATGCAATCTTAGTGGCGCAGATCCAAAAAAATCTAATTAGCATATCAATGTTTTCACGACCTACTTAACAGTTAAATTGACTAAGTACATTCTTGATACAGAAGAAGAAATTGGTATCTTGGATAAATTTCATAGTTCAGGGTATCCTATTAAGCTCTTCTCCTGTCTGAAAGAGACACAAGTGCGATTAATTAATGAGTGAGATTAGTGGGACCCAAAATGACCGTTTAAGGAAGAGTATCATCAGAAGCCACGTGTATCAGAAAAGAACCGGTCACACATCTACCTCGTCGAATCTTTTCTGATTTTCCTATTACAAACTTCATTACTTTTGTCGTTTTTCATTATTAAACAATTGATGCAAGTTTTTCCATCGTATTCATTGATATAATGATTATCTGTTCGTTTTGGTTGATTTGTTTTTTCGGTCGAAATTTTGGTTGATTGAACGGGCATATTTTTCTTCTCGTCCTATGCGCACTAGTAAGATTAACTGAACCAAACGTATCACATGGGGCTCAAAGAACTAAAACTAGAGAAGACTCCTAAAAGAAATAAAACAAGACTCTTACACCTTACTTCGTATTTCGATATATAAAGAAGAGCACGCGCGATCAGAGACAAATAAAAAAAGTGGAGATTTCTTGTTGATAAGCAAATTTTGATGGGAGAATTGTATTTAAAGGCATAATCAATGCAACAGAAGACTTTGACATTAGATATTACATCGGGAGTGGCGGTCACGGTAGTAGTGTCTATAGAGCACAATTGCGAAATGAGAATATCATGGCATTGAAAAAACTTCACCGTCCTGATGCAAAGGACCCATCTTTTGATAAGAAGATGGGAAACGAAGTGAAACACTTGATGGAAGTAGGACATGAAAGCATAATTAAGCTCCATGGTTTCTACTTACACAAGCAATGCTTGTTGTTGGTTTATGAGTACACGATGGGAAGAGAGACTAATTGGTGCATTAAGAAACGATGATGAAGCGACAAAACTAGATTGGTCCAGTATAGTTTCTGTCTTTTGAAAAACGCAAGAGACGCTTTGGTATTTACCCACTGCGTATTGGAATTACAAGGATCTTTTGCTTTCTAAGCTGGAGGCTTGTTAGTCAAAAAAAGAAAAGGCTGGAAAATTGGTCCATGACCTTTCCCTTGCGATGGGTTAGAAATTTTTGGGGCCAACCATCACCAATAAAAGTGTCACAAAAACCATGACTTCCCATGAACCATTGAACACGGACTTATCCAAAAACCAACGCACATGAAACCCCAGAAGACCTATGACTTCTTGATGGATGTGAACAGGTTCCATGCATGCTTGCTGGCTTAAAATCTTTTTTCTTAGTATGGTATGCTGATTTAAATTCTAATCGACTCATAAAACTGCCAAATTTAGAGATTGTGTGAGTAGAATAGAGTATACTACTTGTCAGAAAATTTGTGCTACAACTCTAGAAAATCAATCACTTAAATTACATCGGCGATTTTCCTTACTTGAAAATCCATTGTGGCATTAATTTAAAATATTAAAACATCCGACGTGACTCGTCGCAAAGTAAAGTCACGCAGGAATTTTCATCAAAAAAATTATCGATGTAACTTAAGTGATTTGCTTTTAAGACTTATGACAGTTAAATGATCGCATAAATAGCTATCGCATCAAAGTGAGAACTGTACAAAAATTATAACATTGCTAGTGTCCTTATGCCCTCAAATTTTATCGAGCAAGTGATGGTCGGAAGCCATGAAATTCAAGCGATGTCACGACAACTGGCTTGAGATTTTATCTGTAGCCATCGTTGATTTTATTTTGCATGATGTCCTACAGAACTTGAAATTTAACTTCTATCAAGGTAGTTAGAGCAACTCATGGGGTATGAGCTAATTTTATTTACATTGAGCAATCAAACAAGTTACTAGCTCATGGGATATATGGGTAATTGACTTGCTATCAAAATCCCGAAAACCTTCACACATAGTCCAAAATAAAGTTATTAGCTTTTTTGTTTTTGTTTTAATGACAATACAAAGTAATCGGACTGTTTGACTTAAACAAATATCACAAATGCACATAATTCGCATGTTCACATATATCTTGTAAAGCTTTGGCCATAGGGAGACTAGTGAGATTTTTCTGAATGCGAGACGGTAGGATAGAATCCACCGTATATAAATTAAGCGTTTAATCACTTAACCAATAATTCGAGTTTTTAAAACAAAATGATTCGATTAAGATGAAAGTTATGACCGAATTATTTCGATCACAGAGTCGTTTTTCGAACAATCATTCTTGATATTAGATGTGAAGTCCATTAGGCCCCTCTACGGAGATAAACTAAAGTAACGCGTGTTTCACAACAAGGAAGACTTCAAGTCGTCTCGAAGAATAAGACGAAATGCCGGAGAAAAAAGTAAACAAAATAGTGATTCTGGGATTCTCTGTGATCCATCCGAAGGAGGACAAGTTATGAGTCAATTACCCTTTTATATCCCACAAGTTATTTCTTTTTCTTTCTTTTTCTGGTCGGACACAAGTTATTTCTTTGGATTGCCCTTATTTGATACATAGTCGTTGGCCTGCGTGGGTGCTGAAACTTGGATTTCTTCACAAACTAATTCAATTTGTAGTAATTAGTTTCCCCTTTACAGCCCTACGAGTAGATGGCAACAACTTCATCATCCCAAAAGAAAAAGGAAGAAAAGACTACGAGAGTTACAGTTGAACCTAAGTGTCAAGTCATTAAAAAGATAACGCGTGAATTGTACAAATCGCGTTTCCTTTGACACGTCAGTACAGTGTCTCGCTTTACTATATAAGTGCCGTAGTCCAATGAATATCGCAAACATAACATTCTGCAGATAACACGGGACTAAACAGGACCCCGTTTCTCCGATCACAGCAAAAGGAGGGGTCATCCATGATGAGCGTAATCTGCAACATGTCCTTAGTTATTCTGATTACTACAGCTTTCTCCAACTACAGTACAATTGTTGCGGCACGAGCACCTTCTAATGAGTCAGAGACAAGTGCGCTTCTCCGCAGCGGTTGGTGGCCTCGCTACATCACCGGCAACACTTCCTTACCTCATTGCGCCTGGCCCGGGGTATCGTGTGACGCCTCTGGGAGCGTCAATAGGATTCACTTGACAATTGAGCACCAAATAGGAGGTAATTTCGACAACATGAACTTCTCTCTCCTTCCGAGCCTCACTTCTATTGAACTCTCTCGCGCCAGACTGATCGGCGAAATCCCTCTTCATATATGTACTCTGTCGAGGCTTACTCACCTTGACTTGTCCGGCAATTCTCTCACTGGCGAGTTGCCTCCCTGTGTCCATAACCTCACCAGGCTTCAATTTCTTGATATCGGTTATAATCATATCAGCGGCTCTATCCCTCATGAGCTGGGAAGACTGAAGAGATTGACCTGGTTGGATCTCGAGTTCAATTTTCTTACCGGTGCAGTCCCTCTTACTGTTGGCCGCTTGTCCAATTTACGATCCCTCATATTTGGCTCAAACGAATTAGGTGGCTCTATCCCTCTAGAACTTGGGAACCTCACAAAATTGGATGATGTTGATTTAAGTGGCAACAACTTCACTGGTCCCATTCCATCGTCTACAGGAAATTTGACGAGCTTGACTTATCTCTATTTGCAAGGAAACAAACTCAGTGGATCTATTCCTCCCGAAATAGGGAATTTGACGAGCTTGACTTATCTCTATTTGCAAGGAAACGAACTCAGTGGTTCCATTCCGTCGGAAATAGGCAATTTAGAGAGCTTGATGAACCTGAATTTAGGGGAAAATATATTTGATGGTGCCATCCCATCGGAAATAGGAGACTTAAGGAATCTCGTATTTCTAGATTTAAGCTCGAACAACTTGACTGGGAAAATCCCTGTTGAACTTGCGAATTTGAGGAATTTAAGCTATCTCGATCTTCACAACAATTCTCTTTCTGGCTCAATTCCCACATTTCGAAGCACATTATTATATGATCTTAACTTATCATGCAATCATCTCGAGGGCCCAATTTCAGCTCCAAATAGTCTCGGGGCTTATTATCCTGGTAACCTTTATCTCGGTAACCAAGATTGTGACAAGTTTGACGAAACCCAAGCCCACAGAAGAAGGTCTAGAGTAATTCATTACATGACCATGTTCATTCCGCTGGCTGCAATATTCATTTCTTGTATAGTCGTTGGATCGTGCTTCCTATTTCGACATCCAACAGAGAGCGTGCAATCAGAAACTACAGAGAAAAATGGAAATTTCTTGTCAATATGGAATTATGATGGGAGGATTGCCTATGAAGACATAATCAATGCAACAGAGGACTTCGACCTCAAATATTGCATCGGCACTGGCGGTTATGGCAGCGTCTACAGAGCGCGATTGCCTAATGGGAAAGTCGTGGCATTGAAGAAACTTCACCGTCTTGAAGCGGAGGACCCGTCCTTTGACAAGAGCTTTCGGAATGAAGTGAAACACTTGACTGAAGTTAGGCATAAAAGCATCATCAAGCTCCATGGTTTCTGCTTACATAGGCGATGCATGTTCTTGGTTTACGAATACATGGAAAGGGGAAGTCTATTCTGTGCTTTGAGAGATGATGTCGAAGCGGTGGAATTGGATTGGTCCAAAAGAGTCGATCTTGTCTGGGATACGGCACACGCTTTGTCTTACATGCACCACGATTGCGCTCGGCCAATTGTTCATCGAGACGTATCTAGCAACAACATCTTATTGAACAGCAAAATGCAGGCTTTTGTATCAGATTTTGGCACCGCAAGGCTTCTGGATCCTGATTCCTCATCTAACTTCACCGCAAATATCACTGGCACCTATGGATACATTGCACCGGGTGAGCAATACTTCATGCTTCATAAGTTTTTCTCTTTAATCCTGAAAGTTACTAGTAAAGGCACAAGTTCGACAAGTAAATATTTGTCGGAATAGTCAAGATTTCTGGATGTTGTATTACATCTATATCGGTATTACTAAATCATTCATTTCTATTCAACGTTTTATTGTGGAAATTAAATTAATTGTTTTTAAAGAAAAATTGGAGGGGCAAATGGAGCGGGGTGGGGTGCTGTACATAGTTATGTGGGGTGAGGACGGGGAGGGAAAAGTTGCTCCTCCCCGGGCAGCGACGGGGCGGTGGTAAAGGTGCAACCATCATGTCTGAAGCCTCAACCGCCAAAATTTTTGATGTCTTTTGTATCTTTTTTTTCCAGAACTCGCGTATACTTTGGTCGTTAATGAGAAATGCGACACATATAGCTTTGGAGTGGTAGCAGTGGAAACGATGATGGGCGAGCATCCAGGAGATATTGTATCTACGTTGTGGACATCCTGTGGAGAAGATATCATGCTACATAATATCTTAGATCCGCGGTTACCTTATCCAAGAGAGAACTCTGTCGCAAGAAGTATTGTTCTGATAGTTTCTCTCGCGCTTGCTTGCTTGACTGCTGATCCAAAGTCCCGACCAACTATGAAGCAAGTCTCGGAAGCTTTTCTAGCTCGAAAGTTACCGTTGGCGAAGCCCTTCCATGAGATCTCGTTGGCTCAGCTCCGAGATAACAACAGATTATGGTTGGAAGGTGGATCAACAGAAGCTTCATCAGGACTAAGCGATGAGCAAGGGTTATTAAGTGCTTGTCCAGTAAAGAGTTAGATTGATAAAATGATGCTACAATTTGGTGTAAGTGATATAGAACTGTATCGCTTCTGCACATTATTAAGTCATGTAAAACTTTTTACCATACTACGTATAGGAGTGAGAAGTTGTTTATATAGGACATCCATTTTTTTCCTTCTTTTCAGTAAGATTGAAATGCATGATCAATAAACAATGTATCAAGAAATAACGAGACCCACACTAGTGCCAATATAAAACATAAGTACCCATACACAATTTCTACAACGTATTTGATTCTATTAAGATAAAGTCATAGAAAAAGTCCACTTAATATTATGTTTCGTTCCATAAAAGATGAGTATAGCTCGTTTTTTCAAGGCCAAACACCAGCGAGAAGTCCATGAAGACCATCACTTCTTACGAACCATGTAACGCGTAGTGGTCCAGAAAATCAACATATCATGGTCCCAAAATCAACACATAAAACGACAAAGACCTTGACTTCTGGTGACACTCCAATTGCATACTCTCCACAGAAGACCTTGACTTCGTGACAAATGGGTACAAGTGCCATGCAGAAAATTCGTTCTGGTTTAAGTTCTGATTGAATCGTTGAAATTTATAGATTTTAGAACGGGCAGTACAATCTCTCGATGGAGGGGCCGAAACTTCTTTAGGGTGTGCAGATTCTTAGAACACTTCAGCTTAGGCACTCACTCCTTTGTATTATACTTCGCTTGTGAATCAGTTTGCAGATCCAATTTTTCTCCTACAATTTCGTGAAAATGAAATTAATCCTAGCCCAACTGAGGAAGATTTTCAAGGCATGTTAAATAGTCCGATACCGAAGCCCATTTTAGCAAGCCCATATTCTAAGCTGTTCTTTATATTACTTCGTTCAACCCAAGAAAGCCTCTATTTCAGTCCATTGTAAGAAATCCCACTTTAAGTGAGTAAACCACGAATCCATGAAATATCCACAAATTTCGTAGTCCAGTTAAGACATGAGTGAAAATCAGCATAGGCGGTCTCAACAGGGAATTGTTTTCATTTTTGTGGGTGTGGGGAATCGAACCTATATCGTAGGGCCAACCCGTACATACAAATTCGCTCCTTTAACCACATAGCTAATCTTGGGTTTTAGTTTCTGCAAGTGATTCCCTCTTTAAAGACCGTTGTTATTAGGAAAGCTTGTAAAATGTCTATATGAAGGAAAACAAATTAAGTGGATCTTATTCTCCGGAAATAGGGACTCTGAAGAACCTGAGAATCCTCTATTTGCAAAGTAAACAAACTGAATGGATCCATTCCATTGGAAATGGGCAATTTGGAGAACTTAACCGATGTGAGCTTAAATTCAAATTCCCTCACTTGCCTCCTCCAGTCACGTCTGGGAAATGTGGCAAGCTTGATCGTTCTGAATTTACGGAAAAATAGAATGACTGTGCCATCCCATTTGGAAATTGGAGATGCTCGCTTTTCTAGATTCGAGCTTGAACAACTTCATTGGAAGAATCCTTATTGAATTTAAGAGTTTGGTTAGGGCAAGCCATCTCGTTCACAATAATTCTCTTTCGGGCTCAATTCTCTCATTTAAAGAGCTTTCGTACTTAGATCGCGTCTACTTATCATACAATCATCTCAATTATGGGTGAGCATCCAGGTGAGATCATCTTAATGTTGTCGATACTCTTCAAAGAAAATATTACACTACAATAAATATTAGACCTGCGCTTGCCAATCCCAATAGTGAATTCTGTCGAAAGAAGTATTGTTCTGAGAGTTTCTTTGGCTTACTTGCTTAAGCAGTGATCCAAAGTCATGACCCATAATGAAACAAGTTTCGGAAGCTTTTCTAGCCCCAAAACTAGCGGTGGCCAAGCCTTTCCATTCACTCTCACTTGCGCAGTTTCAAAAAAAATAAAAAAACTCAAGGAGTATGGTGGGTGAGGTGGATCAACAGAAATCTCGTTAAGCCTACAACAAGAGCAAGGACCACGAAGTTCTTGTCCCAATGCAAATAAATAAAGTCCAACAAGTGAAGAGTTGATTGACAAAATGATACTGCAAATTGGTGAACGTGGTTGAGTATTTGAAGTATACGGCTTGTGCGATTAGAGTCTAGTCAAACTTTTGATATACTAGCTAGGCTAAAAGTCAGCGAAGTAGCGAGTTAAAAGCAGTTATCAGACAGTCTATTTATTTTTGGAATCCTAAATATATTACATTTGTGTCAATTTAGTCCTAAACATTTTAATTTTGCCAGATTAATCCGAAACCTTTTGACATAGTATCAATTCAGTCATTCCAGCTAATTTTGGCTAGATATTACTTATGTAGACGTCGGCCGGCTTACGTGACACAACTGGCACTGACATGGACAATTTTAAATAATATTTTAATGTTTCGATTTCTTTATTATTTTTATGATTTTTTTTCTTTTTTTCTTTATTTTTCTTCATTTCTTCTTTTGCCAGTAATTGGCCACCGGACACTAGCCATGGCCGAGTAGGCTGGCATTGCTTGGGCGAGAGTCATCATCGCCTGCCATAACAAGGCCTGGCTGGACGAGGGCGAGCCCCGACAAGGGTTTTGCTCACCAAATCTGGCGAGGCCGCCCTAGCTTGGGCAAGGGCAAGCCTCACCCGATCTAGCAAAGGGAGCCTTCACCAGGGCTTGCCCAGGCTGGGCCTCACCTATGGTAGGCGACGGTGACCCTGGCGCTAGTGAGACCAGGCCCACCCGGCCATGGCCAGTGGTCAGCCACTGGCAAAAGGATGCAAAAAGAAAAAGAAAAGAAAGAAAAAAAATCGAAAAATATTAAAATATTATTAAAAATTGTCCAAGTTAGCACTGACTGTGCCACGTAAGCTGGCCATCGTTCACGTCAATAATATCCGACCAAAATTAGTCTAAAGGACTGAATTGGCACTATGTCAAAAGGTTTAGGACTAAAGTGATACAATTAAAAGATTTAGGACTAAATTAGCACAAATGCAATAGGTTTAAATTTTTTTTAACACTTTTCCTGTTTATCTTTAGTCTTTTTAGTTTTATGGGAATGCATGATGATTGATAATGCGTTGTTCTTGCGATGAATGTTTGGCGTGTTAAGGACATTCACTATGTATTTGCCATGGTGTCCAGCGCGAGCCCCAAATATGTGCATTATGAAGACTTAGGCGCCTTCACTTGTCCTGCAATTCTCTCACCAGTGTGCTGCCTCCCTCTCGGGAGAACCTTACCAGGCTTCGTGTTCTTGACATTGATCATAAAATCTTAGATTCAATGCACTTAGCAATCCCTTAGACGCACGGTTGCTTGTACAATATGCAATAGCTTATCTTCACCTCAAACAAATTGGGCAGCTCCAAACCCTCACATCAAATCATGTTGGTTTAAGCCGCAACAACTTCATAGGTCTCATTCCGTCATTTATAGGGAATTTGACGAGCTGGAAATATCTGTATATGCAAGAGAATGAAATTCAGTGGATCTTATCCCCCAGAAATTGGGAACTTGACGAGCTTGACTTATCTCTAATTGCAAGAAAACTAACTTGATGGATCCACTCCGTCGGAATTAGGCAATTTGGAGAACTTGATTGATATGAGCCTAAATCCGAATATCTTCACTTGCCCTCTCCATTCACGTCTGGGAAATTTAATAAGCTTGATTGTGCTGATTTATGGGAAATTAGATCGACCGTGCCATCCCATCGGAAATAGGAGATATAAGGAATATCAAACTGCCAGATTTGAGCTCGAACAACTTCGTCCGGAAATTCCATGTTTGAAAGTGTCCCGTTTTTTCGGAACTTAAATCCAAAGTTTATTGATGCACTTCACGTTTCTTTCATTTGCATTTCTATTATTTTTCTTTAATGTCGAAAGAAAGTGATATGATCAATTGATTTTCGAATACTAGATCATCTTATCAAAGGTTGTTTATATTATCAAATCACATTCTTGCGGATGAATAGTTTTGTTGGGGTGCAACCCCAAGAGGTTTTAGGTAATTCTAGATCAAATAAAAGAACTGAAAAGTAAAGTTTCAGTAATCAATGACTTGTTTTTTTCATATTCGAGAATTAGCATGTCTAAAGTGGTATATTTGAATGTGATAACATTATTAGTGGAAGAAGTGGGAATATCTTCCAAGACGCGTGCCAACAGTTCAACCATGTCCATGTTGAGGACTTGCCTCGTCTATATTCTAGACCTGCCCATGGGCCGAACAGATTCGAGTTTGACGTAAATTTCATCTCTTAAAAGATATGGGTGCGGTGGAAAATTTGTAAATAGTTTTTGGGGCCACCACGATTGAACTTAGGCAAAGTATGTCGGCAGCTGTTTTTGACTTAGAGTCTTCTTGTTCCACTGACTACAATATCGACAGTCTTTTTTATTGCAGTTCCTAGCAATTTCTCAGCAGTCGTTTGTAACATTAAACGAAATAATTACAATGGGGTTACGAATGGATTAGTGAATGATTAGAAGTAATAGCAAAACTTCAATTACTGAACGACATAGTGTACTCGGAGCAATAATAATCAATTTCAGAAGCATAAAGGGATTTTTTAAAAATAATTGGGAGTTAGCCTTTGAATGAGACTGGAGAATTTCATGTGGTCCGTCAAAAAAATTTAGATCTTGTTCATAAACTTGTGGCTCTTGTTGAACTTTGGACATACAGTATGTTTTTTTAAGAATCTCACTTATCAAAATCATCTCTGATGTCCGGGTTCCAATTCTAAGATATGAATATACAACTTTGCGATTTTCTTTATTTTTCACAGAGCTTGCTTACAGTTTGGTGGTTAACGAGAAATCTGACGTATATAGCTTTGGAGTCGTGGCGATGGTAACACTAATGGGCAAGCATCTGGCGGAGATCATTTTGTAGGGGTTCCTCAAGTGCTAAAAACGCAGCGGAATTTATAAATCGAAACCCTAGACAGGATTCATGCGTATATTGAAATTTAAACAGAAGTTCGACACGTACCTTTTGCGGATTGAAGGTAAATTGACAATCGATTGTGTCTGAATTAGCGCCCCAAGTGTTGCGCCTCTTCCGGTATCCACACAC